TGACATGTTTACAGATCTGACTTGAGGAACTGTACCGTTGATAGAGTTATTCTGACATGTTTACAGATCTGACTTGAGGAACTGTACCGTTGATAGAGTTATTCTGACATGTTTACAGATCTGACTTGAGGAACTGTACCGTTGATAGAGTTATTCTGACATGTTTACAGATCTGACTTGAGGAACTGTACCGTTTATAGTTCTTCTGACATGTTTACAGATCTGACTTGAGGAACTGTACCATTTATAGAGTTCTTCTGGTACACCTAAATTAGGTAGAAACATTAGTGTTAATTTTCATCTACGTACGTGTAGAGTCACGAGTTTATCATACCACGTCATTTTGTATGGCATCTACTCGTGCACCAGAGAGAAGCGATTTATATCATTCTTTCAAAGTGACCTGACCCTCTTTACTCAAAGTAATCTTACTCTTTCTAGGCACAAAATGATCTCCAAATTTCGGGACAGACAGACGGCTAAGTATAAACCACGACTGCGTTAACACTTTGAGCGGTGGATAACACACGAAATTCTATGATTTGCTTTTAATATTTTTCTCAGGTAACTAAGCAACCAGTATGTTTTAATGACAGAATGGACACTTTAGGATTGTACCGATTACTGTCCAATCTGATCATTTAACGGTACCTAACATGGAAATGTGTGAAGAACTATAAATTAACATTCTGATCTATAAACATGTATAACCTGTCCTCACCTTTAGATTGAAACTTGTATCTAATCTAAATATTCTATAAATTAACATTCTGATCTATAAACATGTATAACCTGTCCTCACCTTTAGCTTGAAACTTGTATCTAATGTAAATATTCTATAAATTAACATTCTGATCTATAAACATGTATAACCTGTCCTCACCTTTAGCTTGTATCTAAAGTAAATATTCTATAGATTAACATTCTGATCTATAAACATGTATAACCTGTTCTCACCTTTAGCTTGTATCTAAAGTAAATATTCTATAAATTAATATTCTAAACTATAAACATGTATAACCTGTCCTCATCTTTAGCTTGAAACTTGTATCTAAAGTAAAAATTCTATAAATTAGAACCCGTTAAACTATGAAAATTCAGTGCAGTGATTTGTTTTTTTATAACCACGCAATACGTATATACAATCTTACTATCTGTGCTCGTGCGTGATGCAAGGCGAACTTAGCACGTTCTGTCGGGGTGAATGACCTCAAACCGTTATAGAACCTCCGTTTCGGAGTGTTCGGTTATCACTGGCTTTGCTAGGAAGCTGAATCTATGTCAACTCATGATTAAAACAAGTGTTGTTTTATTTTCAGAGTTTTTAATGATGGAGGTGATGGTTTCTATACAGAGAGCAAAATTACAGAAAGAATGTGATGATAGTTTAATAATGATGCCTTGTAGTGTATAGCAGAGGGATTTACAAAAATTCAGAAAAAAAAAACTATAGATAATTATAATTATTTTAACTGACGTTTCGCCTTTGCAGCTTCTTCAGGGCTAATACACAAAATCGTACCAACCTTGAATTCGCATCCACAACGACGAAACGTCGGTCAAAATAACTGTTCTATTATAATTATCTGTACTGTAAAGGTAGTTATTTTTTTAACTTTATTATCAAAATTGTTATATTTCTGTCGACGTAATAAAATAAAAAAACTATAGTTTATGAAAAGTTTCATTCATACATTTAGTTCAGTAAATTTATTTAATACGTTATTTTTACATTTTTTTTTTCAACTCTGTAAATGTAACTTACCTCATTATTTGAAGTTCTTAATTCTTACTCGCGTTTCTGTGTAATATCGATTAATTCCATTTAAACTGGCGAGATTATAAGAAAACCACATCCATCTCTATAATATACGCAATATTGCATTTGTCTTGCGTGAGGTTTCGTAGGTTGTTAGATAAGCCGAAAAAAAAATGTCTTCAGTAGTCACTTCTGTTTTTTTAAGGAACGTTCTAACTTAGAGATGAAAACGACAACAAAGCAGGGAAAATTTCAAACAAAAACTTTGGAGTAGTGCGAATCTTACGTGACAACAACAACAACCAAGGCTACTGTTGGGCTACAAAAACCGCCAGGAAATTGAAGAGATCACGTGGCAGGGAAAGGTGGCCTAGAAAAAGGGCAATGACGGTGCTTTAGTGTACTTGTTGTACGGCCTGCGTCTAGTGTTTAC